AGCTAACATCCAAGTTCAGCAGGTAATAGGGCGGGCAAATAAAATGTTGGCCTTTATTTCAAAGGGAATGGAATACAAGTGGGGAAGTTTTGCTTAAAAAAAAAAACAGATACGACTGATTGCACCTGGGAAAGTTGTGAACAGTTTTGGTCCCCTTATCTGAAGGGAGATACACTGGTTACAGAGGCAGTCCAGAGAACATTAAATAGTCTCTCCACACTTGAGATGGCTCTGTCTTAGCAGGAGAGGTCGATTGGAACTGTACACATTAGGATATAGAAGACAGGTGATTGTACTGAAAGATGGGAGATTCTTACAGGACTTGACAGTATTGATGCAGAAAGGTAGTTTCCCCATGGGAGAGTGTAGGACCAGATGGCAAAATCTCAAGGGGTAACCTGAATATCTCTCAAACCCACGTCACAGAGAGCCTCCTCTTAATCACCACATAAGATCATAAGACTTGGGAGCAGAAGGCAGCCATTTTGCCCATCGAGTCTGTTCCTTTGGTAATCCTGAACTCCAGACACTTTCCCCATACCTTCAATTCTTTACTGATTTTAAAAAGCTGCCTACAGTCATGTATTGGAATTATGACACACATCTGGCTGTTCCTGGCAAAGTTTTGCTCCTAAACCTTCAGGTGAATTTCTAATGACAATAACTGATGTTTTAAAAAAATTAAAGTGCCAAAACAACGGTAGACATCAACATTTTCTTAGTCGTTCTCACTAATCATTCCACCATCATTCTGGTGTCCTAAAACACACAGGTTGCTAGGATTTGCCATACCCAAAACACTTTGGAAATCCTGGAGTGACTCTAGAATAGGCAACTTTTAATGGCTTTACTCTTTCTGGGCATCAACCACTAGGTCTTCATGGTTGACAATGGGTGCCAAGAAATAATCTACACTTGGAGAAACTTGCCAGAATATTCCTGTGTGTAGCGTTCAGTGAAAGCCCAATTTTTAAATAGTTAAGCTGAACACTCGCCGTCCACAAATACTACTTACGACTGCCTCAAGTTGTGCAAGGTAACAAATTCGAGATAAGACCATCGGCTTGAGAGCAGCACCCAGGCTTGAACACTATTGCTTTTGTTTCGTGACTAGGGGAAACGACATCTGTTCTTATCATTTTTGCACATCGGTTTTTGATTTGTTTTATTAAGTGATGCAGTAAGATAAGAGTGTAATGCTGTATTTGGTTTCTAATCTTCCCTATCCTTCAAAGGAATTGGACTATCCCTTTCAAAAGGAACGCTAACTTGGTTTCAACGTGACTCAGTTCAGTCACAGATGCTTCAGTTGTTGAGTGAGTTCAACCACAGAACAAACCGCTAAGTACCTCTCAGCATGTCTGTTGCTTCTTTCATGGCTTGGCAAGAAACATCACTATCTGTTATATTTCCAAATGTGTTCAGAATGTATTTACCTGCTCAGCTTCTGACTTGGTATTCAGTTTAAAAGTTATTCCGTGCCTCAAAAATTATTTTCTTCACCATGTCCAATTGAGTGTTCTATTTGATCCATTGCTGAAATTAAATCCTCCTGGCCATGTTATTTCTCTGACAGTGGCTTCCAAAAACGTGATTAGATGTTTTATCTTTTTTTTTTAAATTTTGCAGTGATTCCATTTCTCCCATGTTTCTTTTTCTGCTAGGCTGGAGGGTTTTCACTTTCTCTGCCATTTTAATGGCAGATTCTCATCATTCATAGCTATAATGGAGCATGCCCTGCATTTTGCGGATGGATTGGGATGTCCCAAACAAAACTGCTGTACAGCACCTTTTTGTCTAAATTGCTCAGCGCACATCTACTTTAATAGACCAAGTGCATGCTTTCCCTGGTTCTGCCGAATCAGGCGAGTTGCTCTCCCAGCCAAGCTTTATATTGCAGCAGCACCCAATCTTAAGCTGTAAATGATTTCAAATTCTCACTTTTTCCAGCCAGATATACTGCATCCTTCAAGTTTCACATTCGTGTGAATCAAAACTGAAAACACGGTGGTATAATCTCAGATGTCTGACTCAACAGCTGAACTGCCTTGGGAAAACACGTACACACGCGCGCGCGCGCACACACGATATCATGATGCAGCCTGCAGCTCTGCCTCAGAACTTCAGATGTTCACTGTTGCAGTGTGTCTCTAGTCAGATCTGAAATGCGTTGTTTCTTGCAATCCTCCATTAAAGCCACAGAGAGTGGCAAAACCCTCAAAAGCAGCATTCTCTTCCTCGGTGAATACACAAAAGTACTGCCAAGAGGCATTTCAGAATTCACTGCCAATTTCTGAAGCTAAGTATCTGTTTTCCTCAAAGTTTTGGGTTACCACCAAGGTTACCTCATTGGGGGTGTACAGTGAAATTAAATCTTTAGATCCAACACTGATCCTCAAATTGTTTATGCTGTCATTCATATCTTCTAAAGGTGTGTTTGTTCTTTAGGGGCTTGTGGTTGTGTGTTGAGGATGGCCTCCTTTGGGTCAAACAAGTTGACTTGCAAGAATACTTGTGCTACTAAAGACTATTTGGAGGATTTAGCCTAAAAGTCTCTATCTCCCATGAGACCTGACTCAACTCTCCAGTCAGTCCTCAGAACATTGTCACAGTGGGTATTGCTTATTGTGGGGAGAGAAAAGAAAACTGGACATTCTCAGTCATCTGGTTTCCATTGCTCTCTATCGTGGAACATTTTGTGAATTCCAGTCTTATGCCTGGAAGATTTCCTTAGATCATGCTACTACCAAAGCAGCAATCCTTTAATGCGCACAGCATTAAGCTGGCAGGTGTCTGATGTTTTAATTTCCAGTTCAACAGATGGTTACCAGCTCCCAACTGACCTAAATAAACCTTCAGATTAAAATTAAATCATCTTCCCTGCACACACCGGTCAAAGAAGAAAGCAATTTCTTTTCAACCAAACAGTTAACCTGGCTCCAATTTTATATTACCACACTTCTCCCCACCCCCAAATTTTTCTGATACCCCAGTGTTTCTCCCCAAAACCAAACGGACACTTGTAGTAAGGTGTATTTGCTGTCATCAAAATTAAACTTTGGCTGCAACCTTCATTTTCAAAATCGAGACGTTTATTTGTTATAAAATGCTTCATTTTCTAAATACATGTCTTCAATGTTCTTTCAGTTTTAACCAATTTATTGTTCATGTCATGGCTCAATAGCTACAAATATCTGACTGTAGGACAATCAAAAATGATAATTGACCAAACCCTTTCATTCTCCAAATTAGGTCATGATATGGAAGCATTGTCTAACAGGTGGAATTTTGTTTGTTTAATGCCATAAATAACTGCCAGCCCATCATTTTGATTTTTGATTTTGATTTTTATTGTCACATGTACTGAAATATAGTGAAAAGCTTTGTTTACGAGCGGTACAGGCAGATCACAGCAAGCAAAGCATGTACAGATCAAGAAGACTTAGAGGCATACAGGTTATATTATTTGAGGCTACAGTCCATTCAGCAGTCTGATAATGGCCGGAAAGAAGCGGTTCCTGAACCTGCTCATACATGTGTTCAGGCTTCTGTGTCTTCTGCCTGACGGAAGAGGTTGTAGGAGATTATTACCAGGGTTCGATGGGTCTTTGATGTTGGCTGCCTTTCTGTGGCAGTGAGCCGTGTAAGTACAGTCCATGGATGGAAGGTTGGCTTCTGTGATGGTCTGAGCTGTGCACACCACCTTCTGTAGTTTCTTATGGTCCCGGACAGAGCAGTTGCCGTACCAGGCCGTTATGCACCCGGACAGTATGCTTTCAATGGTGCATCTGTAGAGTTGTTGAGGGACCTAATGGTCGTGCCACATTTCCTGAGCCACCTGAAGAAGAAGAGGTGTTGCTGTGCCTTCTTTTACGTGAGATTATTTCATAACACTTTGCAAAATCTTGCTGGGAGTAAATTAGTTGCTGCATTTGCTTATGTAATAGACTGTGCTTCAGAACTAATGCATTATTTGCAAAGTGTCTGAAAGATGTAACATCTAACCAAAGTTTGTGGGGAGTAAGGAACCAATATACAAATAAAACAAAAGCTGTGATCTGTATTCAGCCATTGATCTACAGATATAAAACCTACATTTATAAAACATGTCGCATTCCAAAAGGGCTTTAGAGCCAATGAACTGCCTCATTTTAAAGTGCAGTTAAAATTATTTAGGCAACCATGTCAGCTGATCATAGATTGTGGAACCACAAACAGCAACAAGTAACCAGTTTAAAATGTCCTAGCTGAGGTTGATTGCAGAATAAATAATGACCAAGGCATCACAAATGAAGTCTGTTTAAAGAAGTGGGTGCAGTTACGATGTTTAAAAGGCATTTGGATAAGTACACAAATAAGAAATGTTTGCAGGGATATTGGTCAAGTGCAGGCACGTGGGATTAGTTTAGTCTGGAATTATGGTCAGTGTGGACTTGTTGGATTGAAGGATCTGTTTCCATGCTGTATGGCTTTAAGTGGCTTGAGATCTCCTGCCAAACTAGTCAATAGGTACTCCTCACTTCTTCCCAATCTGTTCAACTCCTCTGGATTGGCTGCAACCAGCTCATTTTTCAAGTAAGATGGTTGTTGTTGAAGGTCAAATCACCCCACTCCCAGATATCACTGCAGGAATTTCTCAGGGTAGTGTCCTCTGCCCAATCATTTTCTTACGCATCAAATGACAGACCTTCCAGCAAAAGAGCAGAATTGGACATCAAAATAATAATTGCACAATGTTTGATGCTTCGGATACTGAAACATTCTGTATCCATATGCAGCAGGACATAGACAGTGTTTAGACTTTGCCTGAACATAGCAAGTAACGGTGACAGCACACACACCAAGCAGTATCTAACCTTCACATTCAAAAGCATTAAGATTGCTGAAAATACTTGAACGTTACCACCAGTCAGTAACTTTTCTTTCTTCATTCATTCACAGGATGAGGGCGTCGCTAACGAGGCAGCATTTATTGCTCATCCCTTAGTGCCCAGAGGGCAGTTCAGAGTCAACCACATTGCTGTGGGCCTGGAGTCTCATATAGGTCAGACCAGGTAAGGATGGCGGTTTCCTTCCCTAAAGGACATTAGTCAACCAGATGGGTTTTTCCAACAATCGATAATGAATTCACAGTCATCATTGGACTCTTTAATTCCAGAGAATGGGTTCAAATTCCAACATCTGCCATAGGGGGGATTCGAACGAGGGTCCCCAGAACATTATCTGGGTCTCTGGATTAACAGTCCAGCGATAATACCACTCGGCCATCACCTCCCCCTTCCAACTGAACCATATAAATATTACAGTACAAAAGCAGATCACAAGCTGGGAATTCTATGACGATTAATATAATTCCTGAATTCCTAAAATTCATCTACCATCTGCAAAACAGGTCGGGGTGCAAAGGAACATCCTCCACTTACCTGGATAAATGCAGCTCCAGTCAAGCAGCTGATCAGTTCATAACAAAATGCCTCCTTTGATCAGCATCCCACCCACCTATCTCAAATGTTTATTCCTTCCCCCACGAGCACTCAATGGTATGGGTATGGTGCACATATCCTGCAGTAATTTACCAAGACTCATTTAATAGCATTTACAAACTCTACCGTCTTGAAGGGCAAGGGAAGCAGATGTGTGAGAATACCACCATGAGCAAGTTCCCCTCCAGGTCACATATTGTCCTGATTTCTTATTTCACAACTGGGTAATAATACATATTTTCTAAAAGTTCACGTAAAAATGGGTGTAAAATTCTACAAATAGCATCCTGGAAGTCAGACAACTGTCCTTCGAAAGTCACTGCTGCAGCAAAAATATGCTGATTGATGTGCTCAACATCAATGACAAAAGGAGACATTAAGAATTCAATTAATCCTTGGAAAAGACCAATGGACCCTTTCAACTCAGTGAGAATTCAAAGTTTTGCAGGAGGAGAAAGGAAGGAGACTGAAAAGACACCACAGGAAATTCCAGCATTAAAAGAAGTTACTTTGCTTTATGAAAGAAGGATTTATCATAATGTAGGAGCAAATTACTGCAGGTGCTGGAATCTGCACTGAAAACAACAAATGTTGGAGATCACAGCAGCAAAGACTTCTTGCAAAATGGCGGCAGGGTAAGTCACTTCACTCTGCTAGTCCTTCCTTTTCTTTTCTCTCTCCCGCTATAGTAATTCCATATCCACCACTGCCTCCCAACTCCCCACCCCACCACGGGCTGGAGAGTCCAGACTGAGACTCTGGCGAAGGCATGGTGTGGGCTGGAAAGCCAAGTGGGACTGCAGCAGTGGAAAGGAAAATTGGACTCAAGTTATTTTGTTTTAAATCTTATTCGAAGTTAATGTGAACGGCACCAAGCATGTACAGTGAAGGTACACACTTCACTGTATTTTTGTATTGAATACACATGAAATAAATGATTCAGTTCAATTCAATTCAAAAAAACATTCATGGAGAGAGAGCAAGCTAATGTTGGGTCTAGATGAGCCTTCGTCAGAGCTCTCAAAACATTAGCTTGCTCTCTCTCCATGAATGCTGCCTGACCTGCTCCGATCTCCAGCATTTGTTGATTTCAGTGAGGATTTATCACAGTTCACTTCAAATTTTTCTCAGTAAATGTCCAAAAACTAAACATCTTACTGGAGAAATCTAAGAAGAACTGCAAGAGTGACATTAAAATGAGGGGTTTTGTAGAGGAGGATCCAGCTATAAAAGGTCTACAGTGCTGAGCTAGGCTGGGCTACCTAGAACCACAACTTGCAGCACCTTATTACCAAAAAGAGCTTATGTTGTGACTCAATAGGGCAATGCTTGGGAAATAAATGCCTATTATTCCCAGAGCCATCACCACACTTAAAGATTTAAGAAAGTATGCAAAGTTCCCAAATATCCCTGACTTTCAGACCCAGGTTGATAGAAAGCATGGAACAGGTTTCTATACTGCACAAGAACCATTTATTACGAGTAATTGGACACCAGCTACAGGAAAATGGTTCATAAACAAACCATCAGCATATAATACTAATTAAACAGCTAATCCCCTTTATAAACACCCTCTTACACACAGAGACACTAATTTGACCTCGTCTGTTTACCGACAGAGTGGAAAGACAGTTCAATAGTCTTTGTTCCCAGATTCTGTTGTGGAGATGATTTGAGAGCTGTAGATGTTGTTTACTTGGACTTTAGTAAAGCCTTTGACAAGGTTCCCATGTTAGACTAACTTGAGCGTGCCAATTGGATACAAAAATTAAAAACTGGCTTAACAGTAGGAGACAGAGTGGGTTGTGGAGGGTTGCTTTTCAGACTGGAGGCCTGTTACTAGCAGTGTTCCGCAGGGATCAGTACTGGGTCCACTTTTGTCTGTCATTTATATAAATAATTTAGATAAGAACATAGAAGGCATGGTTCGTAAGTTTGTGTATGACACCAAAATTAGTGGTACAGTGGACAGTGAAGAAGGTTATCTAAGATTACAAAGAGATCTTGGTCGATTGGGTCAATGGCCTGAGGAGTGGCAGATGGAGTTTAATTGGGTAAGTGCGAGATATTACATTTTACTAAAAAAAAAACAAGGGCAAGACTTCTACAATTAAAAGTAGAGCTACGAGTAATGTAGAAAAAAGACCTAGGGTTTCAGGTGTATAATTCTTTGAAATTTGTGTCACGGGTAGACAGGGTGGTTAAGAAGGCATTTAGCATGCTTGCCTTCATTGTTCAAACCTTTGATAATGGGAGTTGGGATGTCATGTTGAGCTTGTACAACATGTTGATGAGGCCTTTTCTGGTGTATTGTGCGCGGTTCTGGTTGACCTGTTATAGGAAGGATATTATTAAGCTGGATAGGGTTCAGAAAAGATTTACCAGGATATTGCCCAGAATGCAAGGTTTGAGTTGTACAGAGAGGCTGGATAGGCTGGGACTTTCTTCACCAGAGTGTAGGAGGTTGAGGGGTGACTTTATAGAAGTTCATAAAGTCATGAGGTCTATAGATAAGGTCAATGGCAAGTGTCTTTTCCCTAGGGTGGGGGATTTTAAGACTAGGGAACATTTTTTAAAGTGAGAGGAGAGAGAATTTTTTTTTAAAAAAAAGTAGAGGGGCAACTTGTTTCTTTTTACAGAGTGTGGTGTGTGTGGAATGAACGTCCAGAGGAAGTGGTAGATACTGGTACAGTTACAACATCTAAAATACATTTAGATAAGTACATGAAGAAGAAATATTTGGGAGGAATATGGGCCAAACACAGACAGGTGGGACTAGTTTAGTTTGGGATTATGGTTGACATGGACTGGTTAGACCAAAGGATCCGTTTACGTGCTATATGACTCTATGACTACGAATGACTCTTTGGCTGGCCAGCAGATTGTTTCAGTCATTTGTTGGGATGTTTCTGCTGGCTGGGAAGAGACATGGTGGCCAGTCACTCAGAAAGGTGTCTCATTCATCAGGTTAAGTCACAGCCTTACAACAACTGTTGCAGGAAAGAAATTGGTTTTCTTCCATTTCACAGTGAGTTTTGACTACAGAGAACAGGTAGACCACTCCTGAACTGAAGAGGAACTGAACATTTCTTTAACCTATTTTCAGCTCCAGGCTGTTCAGTTATTCAAAAACCAATCACTCAATTGTTTGCAGGCAAAAAAAGTCTATAATCAATAATTGGTCACCAGTCCATAAACCAACTTCTTGATGCCAACAAAAGCTACATCTGTAAACCATCACCCCCACCCACACCCACCCTTGGGCTCCAAACTGTCTGTAACTCAAAGTCCAATTACTGCTTGTTCAAATAGTTGTTTACAAGATGTCAACAGAAGCATCAGATTACTACTTACTTGCCACCATTCTTTCAAACACTGGTTTCAGAAAAATAGCTCTTATTTCAGTCCCTAATTTTATTTTTGAAAAACAAACTTTAAAAAAAAACAGTCCTCCCAGAATCTGTTCTACTCAATCCACCTGCAGGAAATGTCAACTGTTCAACTACAGAAGCCATGGTAGCTGTGAAATTCTGAGTTCAAGTTATCAGCCCCTTCACCTCAAGAAGAAAAGCTACAAGCCATTAATAGAAATGCAAATTGGTTTGACTTTAGTCTTTATAGTATAGTTTGTCCTTACTGATTTTTGACCTGTAGTGATTGTAACAAGGTCAACTAGCTGGCCCTCCAAATGAGTTCCCTAATTGGGCCAGATAAACAGCCCCAATCAGGGAGCCCTGGCTGATCCAAAAAAGATGAGTGTCAGACACACAGCCTGACTCTGTAGGAGACAGTACTATAGCCAAGGACTGTTTATGTGTAAATAAAGGGCGAATTGGTGACAGGATAACAGTCTCTGAGGAGTCATTACAGGGTCCTTATTCTTACTTTAGTTAAATAACTATCACTTTTCAAACTCTATAACTCTGAGGAATAATTCTGCAATAAACTAACCTTTATTGTGTTTAAGACCAAAGCTTTGCTGCTGGCTGTTTTTAAAATTGGAGCACTCTATAAACCAAATGAGCTGTGTAAATTTGTAGTTTACAGACCTCTCTGCTGAGATACTTCTGCTGTTGTGACAGTTTGACTAATAGACATAAATTTTTCACCAACATTTCAAACTGAACAGGAGACATTTCTTAGGATCGTCTGCAGCTATTCCACATGTTCAGCTTCACTAATACATTAGTAACGCTGAGAGTAGAAGTTTCCTTTAAAAAAAATCCAGTATCAGTGCTAGTTTATTTGAGCACGTGCTATTTCTGGTTTTCTCTAGATCCCAATATGATGCAAATATACAACAAAAACAATCCACTTCCCAAAACCAACAGTCATTCACTATCTCCAAAGAACAAAAGGACATCCCAAATTAGAATAAAGTGTATTTCTGAGCACAGTCCCATATTTTGTGCAACACATGATGCACCAAGTTATGAATAATATCTACCATAAAAAGTTTGAGTTAAGCATTGAACTTCTGCTAAACAACAAGGTTTCCACAAGGTCTAAATTTAGGGGTACTCCATCTATATATTGAAGGTAGTACTTTCTACCCGAATGAAAGAAACAAGGTAAATAATTGGTGAAATTGCACTCATCTCTTTCCCACTGAGACACAGGGTGGGGCTTAGCTTTGGGCTGCAAAGGAACAGGAATTGTGAAAGCTGCTGAATAAATCATACTGGCTCATGCTATGAGCTAGACTCTGGAGCATGTAAGAGAAACAGTGACAATGTTCCACTGGACATAGGTGCACAAGCAGGCCACTTAGCCTATCAAGTCTACTCCGCCATTCAAATGGGATCATGATTGATTTGCTAATCCTCAACTCCACATCTCTACCTTTTCCCTGTAACCCTTGATTCCCTTCCCAATTAACAGTTTCTATCACTGCCTTGAATATACTTTGATGCAGATTCAACGGCCCTCTACAAGAAAGAATTCCACGGATTCACTATCCACAGAAATTCCTTATGTCTTAAATGGCCAACCCCTTAATCTGAGATTACTCTCTATGATCCTATAGTTTCCCCTTGTGGGAAAGTATCTCTTTGCATCTACCTTGAAAGTTCCCCATGAATTTTGTTCATTTAAACATAGTTGCCACTCATTCTTCTAACCTCCAAGTACAGGCTCAACCTCTCCTCGTAAAATCCTAACCCACATTTAGTCTAGTGAACCTTCTCTGGTCTGCCTCCTGTATCAGTATAGATTTCCTTAATTAAAAAGGGGACAGAAACACATCTCAGTATTCTGGGTGTGGTCAGATTAATGCCTTGTGCAGTTTAATAATACATCACTATTTTTAGACTCCATTCCCTTTGAAATAAAGATGAATATTCCATTTGCCTTACTTAGTACCTACTGAATTTGAATGCTAGTTTGCGATTTATGCCTGATGACCCCCAAATCCCCCTATGCTGCAGTCTTCTCCATTTCAATAATAAATCGGATTCTCTATTCTTCCTTCTGACGTGCATAATCTTACATATTCACAGATCATATCCCATCTATCAAATTTTTGCCCACTCGCCTAACTGGTCTGTACCCTCAACAGATTCATTGTGTCATCCTCACCACTTGTTTCCCCCTCTACTTTTGCGTCATCCAAAAACCTGAAAATATTCATTTCCATCATCCAGGTCATTAATATATTTTTTAAAAATCAACCTGTTTAAACATGTTATGACATCTTCAGACCAGGTAGGACTTAAGGCCTGGCCTTCTGACACAAAATAGGTCATTAATTTATATGGTCATAAATTGTAGCCCTAGCATCTACCCCCTCTGTACTCCTAGTTACAGGTTGCCATCCTAAAACTAATCCTGGCTACTGCAGTGCACCTAATACATAATAAAAAGATGCCTAACCAAAAGTCTGTCGTTAGGTTACCAGCACAATTTCCACTGACACCAAAAAAACTACTGACCGCAATAATGCTGAGCTCTCAAACAAAGAATGTGGCCATATATCCGTCAGTCTCACGGTTTTTCAGTTTTGTAATCTAAATTTCCATTTAAACAGGCAAAAAAATGTTACTTAGAACTTGACAGCTCCTTTTAATGTGAACATTTGTCCTTTTTATTACAAAGTTGTTGCACAGAATCAAGCATTTTAGTCCTCAGTGATTTTTGTTTCAAAAGGTAAACAGATTAGCATTTATTTCAGCCTCCCAGTTGCCCTTGTGCAGTTAAGATTTATTCCCTACTAGTGGAATAGAAGTAATAGGGCAAATCCCTTACCTGGAAGTAATGTTGCATCATGTACAAACAGCAGTTCTATAAATGATTGCACATTGTGTACGTGTACGTAATTTAAAGGGTCCAAAGTCTTCGAGAACAGTGTTGCCTGGTTTCAAGTCCAAGTCTTTGTCTCAAACAGCGGAAATGTGGCGATTAATACCTCAACATAAATGCACATTTCCCACCTTCACCACGCAATAAGGAGGGTAGGGCACTTTGCAAATTGTTTGAATGCCCTTCTTTCAATTAGTCAATTATTGAATAGTTTGGCAATGGAAAACTTGAAGTACATATTGGGTTGAATTCAGAGGTCAAATATCACCTCTTGCTATGGCCAACAGTCCAACATTTTGGTATTTGTAGTGTGACATCTGAAGTATCTTTAAATATATTAAAATTGTGGATACAGGGTAGTAACGCTGGAGAGGAAAGATTGACTCTTTTTTTTAATAAGACCTATGTTTAAAAAAAAAAAAGTTCAATACAAAGAAAGAAGTGAATAGTGAATGGTATTAAAAGACCCTCAAGTGGCCCAGAAAGCCAATTCTCACTAAACAAATCGGCCACTAAGGTACAGATCACAGCCAACTCCCACACAGGAGCAGAAGCAAGAAATACAGCAACTGGGCTCAGGAAATGATTGCCTGTTTTACCCATATGCCAAAATAAAACAGATCTGATTGTTTGTTTGAAATATCACATTTCTTCATTTCACTTAAAGACAATATAATTAAGTACAGTCAGCACAATTTCATGAAGGGGAAATTGCACCTGACAAGTTTACCAGAATTCTTTGAAGAGGTGACAAGCAAAATAGATGGAGGGAAATACAGTGGTCATAATATTTGGATTTTCAGAAAATACCACACGATAGGCTACTGAAGATGATCGTCCATAGTGTTGTGGGTGGTATGTGCATGGATAGAGGATCAGCTAGCTCCATGAAGACAGACACAGTTGGACAGGGGCGAGGGTAGGGGTCATTTTCAAGAAGGCAACCAGTTACTAGTGGAGTACAAGAGGGATCAGTGCTGGGGCTACAACTATTTACAACAAACATTAATGGCTTGGGATGAGGAAAGCCAATATGCTCTTGCCAAGTTTCCAGATGAAATAAAAATAGAGAATGACAATTTGAAGAGGGATATAGACAGGTCAAGTGAATGAGCAAAAAAAACTTGGCCAATGGAATCTAATGTGAGGTCACGCACTTTGGCAGAAACAATAGAGGAGTGAATATCGTTTATTTGGGTGAAAGACTGCAAAAAGCGAAGTCTAGTGTCTTCATCCAACAATCACAAAAACCAGCATCCAAGTTCAGTGGGTAACAGGAAAGGAAAACGGAACATTGGCCTTTATTTCAAAGGGAATAGAGGATAAAAACAGGGAGGTCTTGCTGAAAATATACAAGGTAGAGTCAGACCACAGCTGGAATACTGCCAACATTTCTGGTCCCCTTATCCAAGGGAGGATATACTGGCATTGTTGGCAGTCCAAAGAAGAATCATTTATCTGATATTCACTATGGGGGGTGGGGGGAAATGTCTTGAGGACAAGTTGAGTAGGTTTGGCCTGCACTCATTAGAATTTAGAAGAATGCGGACTGATTTATTCAAAATCCGCAAGATTCTTGGGGGATTTGACAAAGTTAGAAGCAGAGAGGTTGTTTCCCCTTGTGGGACAATCTAGAACCAGTCTAGGGCGGCACAGTGGCTCAGTGGTTAGCACTGCTGCTTCACAGCACCAGGGACCTGGGGTTGATTCCACCCTCAGACGACTGTCTGTGTAGAGTTTGCACGTTGTCTGCATGGGTCTCTGGTTTCCTCTCACAGTCCAAAGATGTGCTAGTTAGATGGATTGGCTAAATTACCCATAGTGTTCAGGGATGTGTAGGTTAGGTGCGTTAGCCATGGGAATTGCAGGGTTACAGGGATAGGGTAGTGGGATGGGTCTGGGTGGGATGCTCTCCAGAGAGTTGGTGTGGACTCGTTGGGTCGAATAGTTTGTTTCCACACTGCAAGGATTCTACGGAACCGGAGGGTATAATCTCAGAATAAGGGGTCACATATTTAAGACAGATGAGGAGAAATTTCTGCTCATAGGGCAGTCAGTTAATCTGTGGAATCCTTTACCCACAAACAGCTATAAAGGCTGAGTCATTGAGTATATTCAAGGCTGAGATAGACCTTTTTAAAATCTGTAAGGAAATTAAGGGTTACAGGGAAAAGGCAGAAAAGTGGAGATGAGGATAAATCGGAACAGTCATGATCTTATTGAATGGTACAGTAGACTTGAGCTGAATAGCATACTTCTGCTCCTTTTTTTTTCCTTTATTCATTCAGGGGATGAGGGCATTGCTGGTGAGGCAGCATTTATTGCCCATCCCTAATTGCCCAGAGGGCAGTTCAGAGTCAACCACATTGCTGTGGGTCTGGAGTCACATGTAGGCCAGACCAGGTAAGATTGGCAGTTTCCTTCCCTAAAGGGGATTAGTGAACCAGGTGGGTTTTTCCTGACAATTGACAATGGATTCACAGTCACCATTAGATTCTTAATTCCAGATATTGACTGAATTCAAATTCCACCATCTGTCGTGGCGAGATTCGAATCCGAGTCCCCAGAACATCATCTAGGTCTCTGGATTAACAGTCCAGCGACAATACCACTAGGCCATTGCTCCTACATCTTATGATTTTATCCTAATGCCTGACAGTAGAAACACTGTGTAAAGTACTAGAGGGTGCAATTATGCTAAGGAATTCTTTCCTTTCTCACCCAAGTAAGATCTTTCTATCCACATGCACTTGACAGGCATAGTATACATTTGGGTGCTGTAATTTCTTGTTTGTCAAATTCCTGAACCAACAGGCATTTTAAAAAAAATACCAAGTGTCAGGCAGATTCAGTTCTGCTGACTGTAGTTCCTGTCAAAAAGCTACAGCAAGAAACTGGTTGAGAGAATGGGGCCATTTTTAGTCTGGTTGTTTAAATAGTCTAATTTCTACTATTACATAAGACTAAGACATACTCTCGCCTTCATTCAGGTCTGACCACAGCCAGGATCCCTTGGCATCTCCAGGCATTAAAGGTTAACCTCAAGAATACGACTGCAAACAACTCAACAGAAAAACCACAAAGGGAAATGCAAGTGTTTTATTTTGGTTTTACGAACGCTCAGTCTTTATTTTTGCCAGAATGCAAAATAAACAAACAAACAAACAGTCAAGAGGCTTTGGAATGGGGAAGAAAAGAGTTTCATTCATTTTCCAAACCACCTGGGAAGCAGTGGCCAGTGACGACAGATGTGTCAGGGGAAATACAAAGTCTAGGCACATGGTTACATGGTAACCTACAGGGATGTGTCAATAAAGAGTTGGCAAGTCCAGCTGCAAACCCTCTCATCCTTGAGAGAAACAAAATGCACCAATCACTCATTCCACTCCACCCATTTTCAGTCACTGATACAGGAGTTAAATGTTGGGTCTACAAATATTCTCCTCCTCTTAAACTAGAACTAACTGTGGCTGTTCACTGGTATAGAAATATTTCAGCTCTGATCACCCAAATTACAAAACTCTACACTCAACTGTTGCCTTAAACGGACTTCGAAATACTACCAAAACAAAAACTATGTGCGTTTTTTTAAGACCTTTCAGCCAGGTGGTCCATTCATTTGGACTGTCTTCCCTTCTGTTCCAAGACATTGGGACAGGGTTGACTGTTTTATCAGCAGCGGGTAGCTGTCACAAACTGTACAAAAAACATGAGATAAACTTGCATTTCCATTTTTACAACTCCCAAGTTCACATGACCTTCTCTCCAATGCTTTCTTTCTTACAGAGCCAAAAAGAGAAACATTGTGCAGAATCGAAAGCACAAATCTGCTCACCATCATTCTGCATCATTGGACAACAAAAAAAAAAGTTTTCACTCCACTTAATAATGCTGCAGAACACCGATAGGCTCATCAAATATTGTAAAATGTGTCTTGAGTAATAGTCTTGGTTTTCCTTGTTTTATAACAGGCAATTCTCTGACTCTATTGACGAAAGGTATCTCGTTACTTGAAAAAGATCTTGTCCATGTTATGTTTAACGTCTTCAGTGGGATGCAAAGGTTATATTTTGCAGTGTGACCAGAAAACAGTATGTCTTTCAACTTACTCCAGAAATCTGAAGACAGCATCTAAGACTTAATGTAGTACTGTCAGAGCGGTCATTCAAGGACATGGAAGACAATGTCCTTCAATCAAGGAAATTAACAGAGACCCGAGGAACACAAGGCACTATTCAAAGAGCAAGGTCCCGTTGTCCCAGGCAATAACCTTCCTCACTGTGCACTACAGCACCTATTTTGGTGTCTTCTGCAAACTTACCAACCATACCTCCCTTTATTCACATCTAAATCATTATAGAAATGACAAACAACAGTGGACCACTACAGCTTCTCAGCTCTTCCTACCTTCTGGAGTGTGGATTAGTACAGTCATAGCAGATGGTCAAGAAAATCACTATGGATTTAAAATTGACCCTGGAATCCACAGGTTACACATGGTTCTGTTTTCCAGTGTAGAGTTTCATGAACTGTGGTTAGTCCACAATTGTTATATATAGATTTAGCATAACTTCCGTGTTTGTTAATTCAGTTGTACTAGAAAGTGCTTTTATTTGCATTTTTGATTTGGTGAGATACTGTAAAGTGGTCACCCATGCTGATATGTTTTTCCTTCCTACCTTGTCTGCTAAAAAAAAATTCCATTTACTCACTGTGACAACCATTCCCTGAATTATTAAACATCATCCCTCCCACAGTCAAGCCGATGACTTATGGCAATACCGACCCTGTGGGACTCCCCATTAAGCAGCCAACTGTAAAACCGGATGCTTCCTCTGCAAAAAACCATTCTGCAAGTTTCTGGGGCACAGAATCTGTTTCCCGAGCGGAACAAACAGATTTTACCTCATACGTCTTTACCCACCGTCACCAGGTGGCCTCAAAAATCAAGTGTTGCAGAATGAAAATAAATATTTACAGCTGTCAATTTGGACTCAAAGAACACAAAAGGAAAAAAAAGTGACAAAACAAAATATCACGTTACAACACTAAATCAAAAAGCGTTAGCACAGGGACAAAATCTTGGCCAGAATTCCAGAAAAATTGCCCTGTTTTTCAAAAAAAAAAAACAGGCGATGGGATCTTTCACAACCATCATGAAGGGCACAAAAGGATTTCATCTGAACAACTTCAAACCTGGCCATGAAGCACCGTTAATCTAGGCTGGAATACACAGCGTAGTATTGTGCTCAAATCCCTTGAACACACAATGCTCTGCACTACATGTAACCATCCTTGTAACAGAACTCAAACTGATATACAAGGTACAGTGAAGGCCAACGTCAAGAGTGATCTCCAGATAAAGCAGGGTCACACTGCATCTCAAAATATCCATTTCCAATATCTCCCAGTAGACATGCAAGTTGAGATAAAATTGTTCCATTACTTTTTAAACTGACTAGCACAATCATTTCAGCTTCTGCAGCTCAAATATGTTGTTCTGAAACAGAATGAAACCACAACAATTTTGTACCAGTAGCAAATGGTCAAAGGCCTGAAGTAACTACAACAAAATAAGTTCGGTCAGCTTCAATAGAAAAAAGTAACCAGTGTTTGAATTTGAATGTTCTTTTCCATCAGCCTGACAACCATCTGAGTTCTCTGCATTCCTCTAATTCATCTGCCTTGTAAATTCCTGGTATTATTTGCACAACCACTGAGCCATGCTTTCAGCTGTATAAGCTCCAAATTCTGGAATTCCCTTCCTAAACCTCACTGCCTCCCTTTCCTCCCAAAGGATGCTCCTTAATATGTGCCTTAGATCGTGGTTTGGTCCTTTGAACTACAAAGTCACATGGCTCTGACAAATTGTCTGATAACCCTCTGGATGTGCCTGGAGATGTTTCAGGCTGCAAAAGTCAATTTTATGACTGCTAGGTGCTTTTATATTACAAACAGCACAGTGCTTACAGTTTTGAGCTGTGGGAGGGGTCATGTAACAGTAATAATCTAAATGGTGGACAGAGAAATACAGATTTACACTCAGAATCATAAAATGCCAATTGTACCAAAATGGAAAAGTTATCTATGTGGAAACTTTTAGTCATGTCATGTCTTCAGTACTCCAGTCCATTTCAGTAATTTAAAGCGTTATTGCTGATAATATAGTGCACTGCAGTATTCAGTGCGGCTTAGCTGACAATAAGCAGGCACCTCACTGAACTTGGTTTCATTCCATATCAACATGTTAAATAATTTAAAAAACATTTCAGCTGTCAGCTTTTTTTGAAAAAGCAAGGCAAATGGAACAGTTTTGGGCTGGACTTTAAAAGATAGTCCCTCCAATTAAAAGAGAAAACTGCTACACAACCATTTTAGCTTGAAGCTGTATTATTTACCTAAGGTTGAGACTTCCACCTGATCGAGCCTCACCTTACACAGAAATGCCAGTTATGCTGATGGGCCAGCAGCACCAGGTTCAAGCAGTGGCCATTGCTGGGACTACAGGCAGTCGCTGATCAAAAAGGTTACGGATCTGGTGAGGCCTAACATGCTACACTTCTCTGCCCTTCAACTAGTCAGTGTCTCACCTGAAGCTGGTATGTCTGACACTACTTCAGTGCCAGACTGGATTGTGTGGAACTGACGGGGAAGTAAGTTCAATAGGAACTTTCAAAAGGAAGTTTTCCCCTCTGTAAACTGGACGTCATCTAAACCACAGCCGCCCCTATCTTAACTTGCGTCATGTCCCATTCCCCTATCAGGTTCTCGTTGACTGATGTCCATTCCCACTCAAGTGTTGTCTTGACTTTAAATTTCAAAGTCTGGTTTTGAAATTCCACCATGGCCTTAACCTTTTCCCATCCGTAATCACCTCCAGTCCCAAAACACAAAAAGCATTTAAAGCAGACTTAAATCAAACAGGCTGCTTTTTGTCCTGGATGCCACTGAGCTCGCAGTGCTGATCGGGCTGTACTCATCTCGCACAAATGGAAGATTATTCCATCACTGTCTTCGTCTGTATCTTGTAGATTGTGGACAGGCTTTGCGGGAGGCAAGAAGCAAGTTGCTCGTCTCAGATCCGAGGCAAGCGTGGTGCATCAAACTCCAAGGCTGATATTGTAGGCATTCGTCAGGAAAAGGGCCTGAACAATATAATACTACCCATCAGAACTTTAAAATCCCAGGTCAAAACAGCACAATAGGCTGTTTGGTGCTTCTTCAGAGTCCTAATGCACAAGACTGGAAAATATCTCAACAGTTACTGCCAATGTCACATGAGGGACTACATTTACACAAGTTGCCACTGAAGTTGAAATTGCAGAGAGTAAGGAGGGAGTGAGTTGGATTTTTTTTTTGAAAGAATTGGCATGATTTTGATCATCTGAATGAAGATGGCAGCGTGCTCCTACTATTCCTCGATCCAACTGAAGTATTAAAATATTTCATCATCTCTTTGAAGCAGTCTCCCTTAAAATACACTGAAAACTAAAGAATGACTGGATGCTCACAAACTCTACAAACTTGGTCAGGGCCCTATCACCAACATTGGGATCCACTTTACACACAATGTGCCTATTTTTTGGGCAGGGGTCATGAAAACAGTCACTGGCTTCCAAACTAGGTGGCAGACAGACATCTAGGTGGTCATATGCATGAAGTCCTCAACAACAATTAATACCCAAAATATAGGCACAATGTTCCATCTCTTCCAGTCATGTATCAATTCATTCAATCACACATATTCCTTTTATCAGTTGGAAGGGAATCAATTTAGGACCAACTTCCACAAGATGAGAATACATTTGAGATTTGGAATAGGATCAAGCCATTCATGATTCAAATTGTAGCATAGCTAATCAGTGTCTCAGCTCAATTTAGCCACATTTGATCTAAACTCTTTCAACAAAAGTCCAAGTCCCAAAAACAAATGCAATTCTAACATTCACAGCCATTTGGAAGAACCAAACTTTATAATCCCACTACCAGATGTGTGAAAAGCTACTTCTTGATTTCATTCTAAAATGGCCTAGCACTGATCATCATGCCTTACTGTTCTGGATTCCTTAAGCAGAAGCTATAGCTTTTCTTTATCTACTGCACGGAATGCTTTTGTGTCATTTTTAAAACGTGTCAAACTAATCACCCATCAGTCCTCAATACTCATGGGAATACAAGCCATGTTTTCGCAAGCTGCTTGCAGGTTGGAATTTTATGGCCTCTCTAAGTTATTTGGAAGCTGGAAGGGCATTTAATTTGGTGACATACCTGAACCATGCCACTTCCTGCCTCTGCCAGAATTCATTTGGTGTGGAAAGGCTCATGGCTGGACTTCCTGTCCCACTCCCAATTGAGGCCTGTAAGTCAGCAATTAATTAGTACTTCAGGGCCTCCCCCTGCTACCGCAACTATTAACCAAGTGGCAGGTAGGCCACTCAACATGAAGCGTGCATGACAAACCACTGGACTACTCGGGCTCTCCTGGGCAGCTCTCACATTCAGAAAGGCACTCCACCTGTGCTCGATCAAGGAACATCAGGAAAGAAGTGCCTGAGAACCACCCCTCACCTTTGCTGCTAACCTCCTACACTCCTCTTCCATCACATCACATCACCCCACCCCACCCCACCCCATCCCATCACACAACACCTCTCCCACCATTATTCAAACTATGATCCAAGTTGATGCTTTATCCCAGGTATCAACCAAGACCTCCCCAAAGACATTGCCATTCAAAAGAGCTGCCAGCCAATTCTGTTATTGCTACCTGTGGGTCCTCTAGCTTAGGAAAGGCCTGTCACTTACTGGTCAAGTGCATTAGCGGCTCTAAATACGTGCAGGCCTTCAGAGGAAGCAACGCAAGTCTCTCAGCTACTCAACAGCCAGCAGTTGAGACCCTAGAGGCTCCAGAAAAACCCAGTCCATAATAATCAACTTTGATGTTTTTGATCAGCCCAAGATTAAGAATATCTCCAAGATATTCAGCATTCCTTGAACTGGTGATTTCAATGCCTTCAGAGATCAATATCCCCCCCTCTCTCTCTCCAAGTTATCCTTTCTTTCTGGCATCAAGAAGGGCAAGGTCTAACTCTTGGAATACCAATGCCCCTCCATATCCATCAATCCCTTCCCTTCTTCCAACTTCAATCCATGCCACATCAATTGTTTTCTCAGACCATCTTTTCTCTGATCAAGCTAATAGACCTTAGTTTCAACCACATCCATCATATTTCATGAAACTTAGCAAATTGTTGAACACTTCTGTTATCTTCATTTCTTTTCCCATCTTTGAGATATCACGAGTTTTCCACACAGTCTCCAAATTCTTTCAGTCAACCGTTTCTCCCATCTGAGGTCCACGGTCTGGCCTGTTACCAACTCAATGATTTCCTCTTCAAAGTGTGCCCGACATCTCTACTGTCTGACCTGTCCTTGGCATCCTACACACAGTCTTATAAACTCAAAAAGCAAAACCTTACTTTTTGATTAGGTACTTTAATACTTTCCAGGCTCATTTTCAGATCATAACCACTCTTCACCTTTTAGACCCCAAGAGAGCAGATGTCAATAAGGAACCTGCTGTTTATCTAACCAGTCCTCTGTTCCAGCTCCTTTACAGACTTCTCTTAACTTTCCTCTCCTCACCCCACTGCTCCCTACCTCAGCATTTTCTCAAAATCTGCTGACAAAGTTCACTGGTCTGAGATGTTGACTATTTCTCACAACAGATGCTGCCCAATAAAAGCCTTAATTTAACCCCTTATCCCATCAAACTACTGGCCCATTTTCTCCAAAGTGCTGGAATGCTACCTCCTAAATCTGTGCTATTCTTGCCCACAAATCCAAGCTGAAACCCCTCAAAAATCAGGGGTCTTGTCCTTGCTTTGGGCGGAGATGGCCAATCTTTTGACTCTTCAGGACATTTCTTTAACATAGGTAAATTATCCTTCCTTACCCTATTCCATCCACCAGCAGTCTTGATACGACTGGCTACATCATCCTCCAATGTCTTACAATCCCACCCACCTGGATGCCAATCTACTTCCTCCTTATGTATTAAATAATAGTAAAAGAATCATCAGCAATGGTTACTCTCCCTCATCCATCACCTTTGCATCTGCCACCCTTTAAACCCATCCTTGGCTCTTGTTTCTCATTTACAACCTTCTGCTCAGCAACATCATC